TTCTAATCAAGGGCTGTAAGATTAAACTAACTAATATAAGGTTTAAGACGTTGCTCAATAGATTGATTGGTTTAGAGTATTATAGTCAGGTTAACACAAGGAAGTATTATGGATTTATAAGATATACTCAAATTACATCAAAATATTTTGTGTTATTATTTAATAAACATAACTTAAAACGTAAACATTTTATTTCCTTAATAGGTATAGTATTTGATCTGTGCGCTGATTTTTAAAAGGTACTTTTCCGGTAATTAGAACTCAAGACCATTCGCTTAAGATCGGGTCTAACCATTGAGTTACATTGGTGCTTTGTGCAGTTCTCTTGGCTGCTTGAAACGGCTCAAGTTATAAAAAAACAATACCATAATGCGTCCATACTCAACTATTATTGTGTAAAATGTAACTGTTTTAAAGTTGAATCTTGTCCCTCATTTTATTCTATGCTATTTCTAAAGGACGTTAGGAAAATGTATTTAGCTCATAACGCCAATTGTTATATTAGTCTTAAGGAAGATAAGATTACGACGAAATATTTAAATCACCCTGCTTCTATTGAGATCTAGCTCAGATTGGATATTGCAATTAAAGGACAAGATTGTACGGTAGAAATGTAGGAAATATAGTGGTAAGCTTGTAGCCGGCCGATTGCGAGTCCTATATCGTCGACTACACATAAAATAAAACCACAGATAAAGGAAAATTCAATACGAGGATAGAGTATGTTTCGTACCTAACAAAGCAGAGATTTTAAGAGTTGTTAGAGCTTTTAGACTATCGCTGAAAAGTCAAACAAATGTCATCTGTAATGTTGACAATTTTATCAATATGATTTTATTGCATTACTGGTTGAAATATCCATAACTAAGCTATGCACTAAGCAACATTAAAAATACAAGAGATTATTTCTCCACAAAATTCTGTTGTGATTAAAAAAAAAAGTCAAAATCACAGATAAATCAAAATAATTGACATTGCATGTCTGAACCACAGAGCAAGCAAAACAAAAAATACTACTAATACAGATTATACATAAACGAACTGTTTTTGTTTTAAAGCTGCATACGTTATGTTAAGCATTAAAAATGGCAAATATAATATATAAAATGTAAACTTATGAGATTAAATAAGAAAACTTTAAATTTCGTTTATATTACGGTAAATTTAATGTAATTATTGAAGTAATTGGAGACTTAGTGAAGAATAATGCACAATTTCCTTTTGTAAATTTTTCATACGAGATCGCAGTGGCTCGTGATATAAATATTCATTACATTTGTACGAATGGAAATTAAACAAATTGAAACCAAACAGATATTTGCATGAAACGAAACGTTATTTTGAAATTTCAGACTATTTTCTAGGCAAGATGGATCTAGATTCTAGATATTCAAATTGACAATTAAATTTGGCGAGAATTCACAAACAACGATAATATTTCGAGTTGATATTATTTCCACAGACTTATTATTACGGTACCGAGAAATTAGTAACACATAAAGCGATTACGTGAAACGGTTATAGATTTAATTGAGCTCTCAAACTTAGTTATCGTATTTCTCAATTATCAATAAAATAACCGTTGTTGCTCGCAGACCCGGAAAATAGTCGCAACTTGTAGTATAGGAGTCCATTACATAAATATTTTGAAATGCAAATAATACTGTTTCAATTTAGAAGGAAAATATAAAGTAAGATCTAAACAACATCTCAATAAATAAAAAATTTGAACTCAATTCAATACTTTGAATAGTAATATTCTTGTAATAAATATTTATTTGCTTTAATAATTATAGTTGGGGTGTATAAAATCATTTTATTTTTTATCAAAGGTACAATATTCGTTGCATGTACATATAAACGTAACACATTACGAAAGAAGATTACAAGTGAAGTTAAATGCAAATTGAAGACCGAATCGAAGTCAATTACGATTAAACGAATCCTGAAGTAAAAACATGGATGAGGATAAAATGTTTTAAATACATGCTATTACAAAAGCTTATATAAGCGGGAATCTTACCAGGCCCGACGCTTTTAATTAAATCTTGAGGTAACGACACACTTGCCTGTGCCATGGTCACGATCAGACTGACAAGTTCGCCATGTGTAATATATTAAATTATCCCTAGAAGTGTATTTTTTTGCATGGCACTGGCAACAATCATATCTTTATTTTAGATTTAAATTTAGAATTGTTCCCTTAACATTTTTACGTTCATCAGTCAACTCCTGACCTATGTTTTGTGTCGGTACGGAGACGTTCGCGATGTAGTAACAAGTAACTGTAAAGGTTTGAAAGACATATTGGTAATAAATTTTAAACATAGTGTAAAACTGACAGGGTTTCTATTGTATACTGAAATCCGTTATTTTCGATTAACTGAAAAATACCTACCACACCGTTGTGAAATTTGAAACATATTTACGTCGTTTTTACATTTATTATCATTTTTTACAGATTTTTTAAAAATAAATGGGTTTTTTTACACACATATTAGTGGTGCACAATAACATTTTAAAAAGACTTGCTTGTCCTAAAATAGAAAATAACAGAAATGAAACCTAAAAACCTCATATAAATATACAAATTTCCGTGCTTTAGTTATGACAATTATACGCAATTCAGTGTGTTTATCCAGTCTTGAGGATTAGCTAGTATTATAAACACTGTACTGATTATGTTAATAATATCAATATTTGGTCGAATTAATGCTGTTCTTGAGCGATAATCTACTAAGGATAATATATACTTTAAGTTTACATAGCAAACAGTTTTGATGGTAAACAGTGAATTTGTACAAACATGAAGGTATGGGGATTTCATACTCCCCTGAGGTTAAAAGAATATTAATTTCTGTCTATTCGGTAAGGGGGTAATTATGACAAATAAGAATCACTACTTTATGAATATTTAATTCTTATCTATGTTATATTTTGACATTATTATTCAAAAGCAATTGAAGTATTTTGGAAGACTCGATTGCACTAGAAGACTATGGTGACGCTACACCGCCAACTTTATAAATACTATATCAATTTATGTTTTAACTTAAGACGATTGGATACGAACTATTTATTGCATTTAAACATCATAGACTAGTAAGTGTAAAGTAAAAAATAAATTATAATTGCTTTATTTTATACTTCCTACAATGTAATTCGTTCGTACTGTGACCTCAAAAGCAAAATAAAAAATGAAATAATCATGCCTTTTTTCTCATTAAATACCTGTCTTTATGTCTCATTTGATTATGTCGCAGACCTAAGTTAATCACTGCAAAATGGTAGACATTCAAGTGAAAATAATTTCGTTATACGAAGCGAAATATTTCCACTGTTTCAATTAAGTCAGAAAAGTTATAAAAGAATCTCTCATTATTGAAATTGAAGGAATTCCGTATTTATAAAAAGGAAAAAAGTCAATGTATACTAGCGTCTACATATATATCTACATAGTAGAAAAGTACATAGTTTTACAAAGCGGGCCTTATATTGCCGGCACATTTTCACTTTGAGATTATTTCAATATCGCACCCGAAGGAAAATTTTAAACTACGTGAAATCAGAATGAATAAATTACGCTCTGTATGAAGCCTTCCATTATGCTGCAAAGTGACCTAAATTCGCACATATTCAAAGGCTTTTTATTATACAGACCTAATCTTAATTCATGCCTTTCGTATATAGAAATAGTCATAGTTTTTTAAATAATTAATAAAAAATTAAAACAACCCACAGCCGTACTTTTTCCTTTCAATACAAAAACAAGCGTTTTGCGCAGGACAACAGTCGTATAAATTAAGTTGTTTTTTTTCTTCAAATCCAATTTCCGTTTTGTATGTAAATCAAGATACAAGTTTATTTCTGTTCCTGTCACTTTCCCTGTTAAAAAGTTTACGAAAAATAAAAGGTGTTAGCACAGCCGCCTCGTTAGCAGACGTCGAAGACTTTTTCCATAATTATTTACAATCGTGGAGATTCGAACAAGAAAGTTCGGAGCCCTCGAATATATTATCATTCTAACAAAAGGAATTGGGAAAAGTTTTGAGGCAAGTTTAAGTACAATGTAAACAATAAGAAAGTTCCTTTAATCTCGAATCTTTTCATTCTTTTTAAAGGTCGGTAGTACAGTAGGGACGTGAGAAGGTTTTTTATATTTAAATTAAGATTTTTTTTTTATATGTTATTCAATTAATTTATTATGCTTTATAAAAGTTAAAGATTCAATAATAATATTTTTTCAAATTATGTTTATAAAAGTTGTTTAGTATTGTTGCAGTTAAGTTTATTTGTCAATGGTTTTAAAGAAATACAAAATTTTTTAATGATTAACATATTTCTTCTTCAAAATTGAACTACTGTATTCTTTGATGTCAATTAACTTTGACAATACCTGGTTTATGTTAACTTTGATAACATAAACATACGATCTAGTAAATTCGTTAGGAGTCCTGAACAACTGACTCAGTTTAAACTCTAGCCGAAAACACTCAGAATTGCAGAAAAGCAAATATCAATTCAAGTACTAAACCTGAGGTATATTTGAAACTAAGTCAATTCAAACTATCTTTTTTTTTTAATTTTATAATTAAGATAAATACAAAGTTAAAACCCGAATTGTTTTCTTTGGCAAAGTAAATAATTAAAATACCTTTATAAGCGTTTTCCTTCTTCCACATTGCAAACTAAGTAGACGTCTTGAATTTTGTACGATCAAATAATGTCGCAAATTATGCGAAAGCTCGCTCAAAGAACTTTTCTGCATCGACGCTTTAATTAACGTTTTGTTTACGAGGGCTCAGCCAGCTGATTTACGCGTCACTGTCCTACCGCAAAACCTTTTACGACAGTAACTGATGAGCTCTTAAAATTATGGCTTCCATTTGGGATCCGATTAGAATAGAATGTAACGGTACGTGATTAAATCGCGGTAAGTAAAAGCTTGCAAAATCGTACACTAAGGTATGAGTCATAAAACAAAGGATGCGTTGGCTAACCTCTGTAGACGTCGTCGTAGAGTGGTGCGATAGTATCGGGCGCGCCCCAGCGGGACGCTTCGGGGTACACCATGGGTACACTAACTCATTGCGTGGCACGTGCCTCCGCGCCGACGGCTACGCGCGGACTGACTTGAGAGCCTGCGCCGGCGCAGCGGTGTTGCCTTGCGTATCGATTTGGGATCTACGCGAAATTGCTGATTCTTATCGTAATGTTTCGTCGATTGAATGAATAGATTTTCTAATTTGGAATCAGTTTACGGTATCGTAGGTTTCCTATTTTAATGATTGGTTTCCGATAAGAAATTCTTAGCTTAAAGTTTTACTTAATTTAATTGAGAGAAACTATTTTAACTGCAAGTACTAACTAGAAAAAGCCTAAAAATAATTTCAAGGAAAATTTAAAAGAGAACAGCATTTTTCGAATGTCAAATGGAAAAAGTTGTTAATACGAAGTACATCTTCATTCGAATAGAATATTTCTCCCGTTCAAATCAAGTATTCACAAAAAGAGTTCGCCCTAACGTCGTCAATTCGCAAATCCAGCGAGGGACGCCGATAGCAAAACTCTGGGGAGTGGTTCGAAAACGGCAACACTGTGTAACCGGCGCCCGTCCCCCGCGCGCGTTCCCCTCCGTCCCTCGCTTCACTTTCGCACGGTCGCGAACCCGACGCGACACTAGTTTAATTGCAAGCGCTGCAGAACCGGATTTATTGTCTCGGATCTCGATACAGCCTCCGCTGTCATGCCACTCAGTGTATAAATTAACTAACTCGACTGTGAATTCAACTTTTCGAGACTGATTGTGGATCACGCTTATAAAATATTGAGGCTAAATACGTCGCTCTTAAGCGGATTTGTAAATATTTTATTTAAACGAGGACAAATACTTTTTGGACTCTAGACCACTTTTAAGGTTCATTATTAGTTTTGGTCCCTAGCCCTGTTTATACACGAAATGTCTAGTTTTCGCGTCCTGGGGAATCGTTATTTTCATCATTCAAGATTTGCAAGTCCCGCTCACATTACACAAATTTCTTGTATTCTAACTCAATAGGTTTTCAATCTTTCTAACATGAATTAAATCGTAACATGATAATTGAAGAGTAAAAGTCAAATATTAATTGTAAGTATGTTCTTTAATTTAAAAACTTTGACGGTTTAAAACGCCAAATATATTAGTTACTCTTGTTTATAAATTATTTTTAACTACTACCCGACGTTCTGTCTGCTTCTCATGCTTTTGCTTTTACTGTAGTCGTCGGGTTTGTAAATATATTTCACGTTTTAAACCGTTAAAGATGTTTTTTAAATGTGTACTACTCGCGTAAACTACAGACAGTATATACATATATAATTCATATTTATTAAATAATAACAAGGTACTGAATGCGCAAGAGTGCAATTACTGCGAGTAGAAAGACATCAACGCGCTCGGCCGCTTTGCGTCTCTACGTGGGAGGTTGTTATTGTATTGAGTTTATTATTATTGTGTATTTACTTATTATGTTTTTTTGTAAACAAATTACATCTTAATTGAAAATCAAGCAACAGTACTTACGCCGTTCGATTTAGTTTAAGTGCACATTATCTATAAGTAATAATATATTGCAGTTTTAATTACTTATTTATACAAAATACAAGAACAACTATTTGATATTTACTTTCTTACTTTTTAACGAAAAAAATCGTTTGAAAAGGATCTTTATTAAGCAGACATTTTTTTTTTTAAATCCCGTTTCTATTAGTGGAGCGTGAGCCAAACACATTTCTGTGTTCGTTACACTTATCGGCTTTATTTGTAAAGTTATCTGCTGTTATCTGCCCGATCACAACAATCTATTGTTACCCTGATCTTCGAACCCAGGATTAAGTAACTCAATGCTAGGCACCACGTTTAAACATTTAGCTTAACAGAGACCGTCAACAAAATATAGCCTATAAATAAAATTAAACAATGAAACGGACACAGAAATGTATTCACGCCATTCCCCACAAGCAGATACAGGTTTTTACTAAGCTACTACAAATTACTATATATAATTACACTGCTATAAGAATGAAGCGTTTATCATCAATCTAGAATTTTCATGAAAAACATAATCGCGTAGCATTCCTGGCAATATAGACGTCTGCTGCACGCGACTATGCTCGTAATGTCGCTAATTGAAAAATTTACACCCTCTCACATTGAAGGCATATCTCTTTTTATTACACGTAATAATACGTAATTAATGACAAGCTTAAGAAAAGCCTTCTTTGAGATATAAGCGATCCAAGTATCAATACGAACAATCGCAGTACAATGTTTGTATCGAATTTGACAAGTGACAAATTTACGGATTCGGTTATAGTCTGTGGAATTTCGAATTTCACAGAGTTCGTAATGGTTCACCTCTATACAAAAAAAGTTGTTACAAACCAATAAGGTTATACTACATTAAATAATGTCTATAGTTTACGCGAGTAGTACACATTTAAATAAAACACTTCAACGGTTTAAAATGCGATATCTCTAATAATATAACTAATATATCGCGTTTTAAACCGTTAAAGTGCTTTATTTAAATAGTAATTTGACGTATTCGTTGGTGCAATGGTAGTAATGTAGGTCTAATAAATATCAAGGGGTCGTGGGATCGCTCCTCACCGGGCCAACATTTTTTGAATCAATATATATATATATTATAAAGTCAGTCACAGTTTTCTTGATTATCTTTGAATGTTCTTATACATATACTTTCACGAAAATGATTAAAAACATACTTCGTATTTTATCTCAAATACATCCCTCATCGGCATAAAAGGGAATGAGGATATAGAAAGCTGCTAGCTACCTTTAGTATTAAAATAAGCGTAAATCTTACAAGACTCAAAGCCGGATGGGTAATCAATTACCGTCGAATCATGTTGAAATTCGCGGTTTAACTTACCTTAATTAACCCTAAAGGTTGGTATCAAGGTATTATAAAGTAATGATGATGCATCTAATATTAATATAATGATTTTGGCTTGAACTTTAAGCTATCGTTGAGAAGCTTAGTGTTTGCGTAATATTTGTTATCTTCAAAATGTATTAAGTTTTAGAAGATACTAGATATTTTTAAACTTTTCCTGCAAAGTTTAAAGGGCACTATAAAATAAACTAAACGGTGACACGGGAATCGAAAATACTGTATTCCCTTGTACTAATCTTACAAGTTGTGTCATTGTGTATGTAATATTTTTTTTAATAACCTCATGTAGATTATTGTAAAAACATTAATTTTAAATAAAAACTAAAGCTTTTTTTGGAATTTGTGTTTATTCATAGTATGTTTTTATTCTATGTAAGAAATATATGCATATACATATTATACTTGCTTTTTAAGTACTAGCCGTCTCTATATGTATCAACCGTTTTTAATTATATATGTAAATAGAGATGCAATGGGGTTTTTAACAATAATCTCTAATTAATGAAACACAACGTGGGTAGCAATCGACCTTCGAGTCCATTATTTTTCTAATTACTTTTTATTTTTTCTGACACACGTTGGACTTCGTCTGGAAATCTGGACATTAATAGTAGTAGGCATATCGAAATTCTGTCCGCGTCACGAACCACCGTCCAGAGATAAAGAAGCCGTGAATTTAATCCCACTTCGGTTTCAGTCTGTGCGTTTCCGAATTTTCAAAGTCAAAATAGGAAGACAGCGCATCTTGTTTAGATGCTATAGGGTGGGGTATTTCGCCTACTGTCTGTCCTTCTGTATCATTAAAAAAAAAAAACTTTGTTTTCCTTTCTTTCGATTGCCAACCCCCGCCCCTCACCCTCCCCCCAACGTTCAACGTGCGTTATCGCGTGAAGACAGTTAATTTCAATATAAAGTCCGCGGACCGTATTTCGATTTATTAGCGAGTTCCTTTAACGGTAATACCAGAACTGCAGCTAGCTAAACCTGCATTTATCGCCGATCAAGATTCTCGGATAGACACTGGTGAGAATTAATTGACAACTACACTTCAAAACTCCCTCATTTGCATAATATATTACTGTAACTTATAATCACGACGGTAAACTTAGCAATTAGCCAAGTTTTAAATAATATAATTAAAAGCACTTTTTTTTAATAAATCACTTTTAATTGTTTAAATTGCGAAATGTACTAGTTACGTATTTACAAATTATTTTAACTACTGCCGACGTTTCGAATGGTTTCTAGTCGACTAAAGATGGAGAGTGTCTCTGACGTCTGATATATCGCGTTTTAAACCGTTAAAGTGTGTTAATTTAAATAAAGATAATGTTCTACTGTTATGTTTAATTCCTCCATCTGTTACAATTTCACAGTAATAGAGAAGAAATGTAACAATATTTAGGAACATCAAAGTACAAGCGCTATAGAGTGTAACATTAGGTAACGATTCATCTCACTCAGTTCCCTCGGGGCCCGTTCACGTTGTCTAGTTTAAAAATATGTGGATCTTCGTAGCTTCTACCTACAACACTACTTTTAAGATACAAAACATTTGGTAAATTTAATTATAAATGTTCTATTGTTTATAATAGAGAAAATTAAAAAAATAAATACAAAAATTTTGTCGACAAACTTGTTTTAATTAAATCCCTTAATCTAAAAGTACTCGTTGTATTTTTTCATAATGAAAAAAAAAGTCAATTAAAATGTATTAAGTAAATACGGTATCTAATCCTTACTTCATTATAAAATAAATACACAGATTTTGTTTGATAAAAATATAGATTTAATGTTGAGCGACCCATATACTCACGAACGTCAGCAGCACCAGAGATGCGTTGCCGTCCTTTGGCTCTTTCACTATGATACAACGAGTTCTTTTTTTAACATTGTAAGTAAATTAAAATTCACAAAACCACACACACTGCAATAACATATTTATAGTTATCTATTGTCTCTGTATATGTATAAAGATGAAAATAAAAGGATAATTAAATACAAAAATTGTTAATATATTCTATCTTGTCGTAGAATAAAAATAAACAATTCTGTTAATCCCGCGAACAAGGAAGCCCCTTTATTGTAGCTCACAATATATAGTCGATTAAATTTACATAAAACTTTACGACTGTTTTATCAGTTTTAAATCGTATTTTATTACTTTCTTTGCGCTTAGCTTCCGACACTTTCCGGGAGTTAGGCGGGTCGCAGGTGATTTCTTCTGACAGTACTCTTCCAATAAGACAATATGAAACGGAATATATCTGTATTTACTTGATACATTTATATTTATTAAGACTCTTTACTACTAACAATACATAAACGTACACACCGATCTTCACTAAGTTACAAACATATCGTTAATGTCGAAGGTACTAAATTTTCCGCTATTATATGAAATTAATTATTTTAAACAGATTCTTTTACATATTAACTAACTAAATTTGATAGAAAAAGAAATGATTTAACAGGCCATTAATTAAAATTTGTTTGTGTTACTATCTTTACTTGTATATTGTCTTAAATACACACATCCAAAGTGTACCTGCATTAAAAATAACTTACAAATAAGCTAGGAGTAGGTACTTAGTTGGTGAAATCAACATTTTCAAAAAAATTGTTTTAATGTACAAACATACAGAAAAATAATTTCCTTTATTTATTTAGTATACGATCCTTTTCCTTTTTAAGGAATTTAACTATTGTGCAAAAAATTTACATTAAATAAAGTTAGTTTTAAAAATACTTTTCGCCCATTCGAATACAGATTAATTTGTCACCTAGCGGCTAGTTCAATGAAGCTGTGACATTTCACAAGCGAATAAAAGTCGTACACCGATAAGACGACAGCGGGAAGGTGTCAAACATAATTGGTTGCGCCGGCGCACAGGAGCGGTGAACTATGCAGTGCAGCGGCGACCGGGCAACGGCAACCAGTTTGTTTTAAATTTGCGATAAAAAATATCTGCAGCGTGCTTCGTGTCATTAGCCGCGCGACGTCCCCCGCCCCGCGTGCATTTATTCATCTTATTCGGAGAAATCGGCGCATCTCCCCCTCCGCCCCTCTTGATTCCAGATGCGATAGGGATGTGCTGATCAAAGATATCGATCGAATTTTAGATTGCAGTTTGATTTGTCAGATAGGTGAAACATTAACGAAAGTACTCATCGACTATCCTTTAGCTTAATTATAAATTTGCTTCCAACTCATAAGCTGCAAAACTATTTGTTTGACAACTTTAATATTTGCACATAAGACATTAACATAAATTTTAATCAATTTAAGTTTAAAAAAAAATTACGACACAGGCAGGACTCGAATCAGGCATCTATAGTGTCCCGTGCTATTGCTATAACTTGCTCAATTGTTTTTTTCAATCTTAAATCAATTTTTGAATGTGTGTTTGTCACTTTTAAGTTCTGTTTGATATATTATGTTTATAGTAAAAAATAATCAATCAATCAAAAATTGTATTACATTGGGTAACAATTACATAAGGTTTTTACGAAATATTTTTCTTCAATCCCATTTTTCAGGTAAATTATAGAAACAAATTTAAATGGATAAGATGTTTTAATACTCTTCGAACCATCCTCTATTTATAACAAATATATCTCCGCTAATCTCTTTGTGACACTTTGTTAAAGGAGAAAACTTTGAAAGAAAATTTAAGGTACGCGATAGTAAATATTAGATTTGCATATGATTTCGACCCCTTTGTTCTTTTTCTAAATTCATTAAATTTTTTTGTAAAATTTCTAAATTTATTATAATGTCTAGCAAAATCAAATGCCTGTTTTGCGGATATAAAAGAACTACAATATTAAAAATTACAACAACGTATAGAACTTGTTCATATCCGCAAAACACTCAATTTTGTCGAATTTATCGACAATCATGGAACATCCCAGCGTACTCGTTCACTCAGCATGCGACATTACCTTGAATATGTTACCCACATACGCAGGACAGGTAATATAAGTTCCGAATATAAAAACCCGCAGCGACTTCATCGAATTTCACTGTACTTGCCATAAAAAGTATTTTTAATCTGTGATCAAAAATGGAGTTTCGTTTCAGGTTTGGTCGGCGTTGATTTTATCTTTAATTGATATCGGGTGCAATTTAAAACTGATATTCAAATGAAGCCCCGCCATTTCGCAGCGTGTATAAAATGTAGTCGTTAGCTTCTTTATTGCACCTACAGGAATAATTTAAATACACTTATGATAATCGCGGCTCTGAACTGGTTGCTACCTACTTCATTTTACATACCTAAGAACAAATTGTAAAAATAATGCGATCAATTTAAAGTACATATAGAAGCATTGAAGTCGCTCCGAACATATACAAATTATGTTTGCCCCATCCCCACACTGACAGGAAACTATGTTACAAAATAAAATTGATTTTTACACAGGCATGTTTTATTTTTTAACAGGCAACTATATACAATTTCCTAAGGTACCTTAAAAATACTAATTCAAGCTTAAAACTTTCCAGAAGAAATAGTTTCAATAAGCATTCAATTTTAAATTCCATATTTTTTTCTCTATTTATAAGTAGTTTTTCGTAAATAGTCAAGCTAATTTGTAATATGGTTGTATATTTGTTAAGGATTGCTGCCGGACTGTTTTTAAAATAAATAAATTATGTTCATGTTTCTTTTTTCTAATGCTACACAGTAAATTGGATTTCTGAATCTCCTTTGATATAATTTTGCCTACTAAGAAGCAGTCTAAAAAATGTGTGTGTTTTTTAATATTTTTATTAAAATAATAACAGATGTGTTGTGTTGCAAATGTTAGACAGGAAATATAATACTTTATAATTGAAACTCAAACTATTAATTTAAATGATTATTATGAGGGATCTTAGACAGACCCTCTGTAGCCAAATGGTTAAACATAATGCCTAGCATTGCATTAAGCGCGAGAGGTCCTGAACAACTGGAAACATCTGAACACAATTTAGTAAGTCTACCCATTATAGTTATATTGTAATCTATTAATGTACTGTGTGTACTTTATATTGTAATAATAGTTGTATAAAACTATTAATAGTAGATTATCCCAAAATTGACTGAATGAATTTTAGTAAAAACAGTTCCTTACAACATTTGCTACCAAAGTCTTGGTAAAATACAATAAAGATTAAATAGTAAAAGAAGATATCTACTGCCTAAAACGTGTACTGTAACTTTAACAAAGAGTTGCCAAGTATAAACAAACAATTATTTCTTATAAATTATTTATTAATTAACTTTACACATACTGTTACAGTACATTAAAACAACAACTCTCCAAATATATTTACACTTATCAACACAGATTTAAACATCCTACTTAGAAGGCACAGGGGCTGTAGGTGCAGATGCAACCCTTTGCTGTGCTGCTGACAGCTGTGGTGTATCTGTAGCTAGTGCCCTTAACTGCTGTTCTGCCGCAGCATTCACCATCTTCGTAACATTTTTCTTCATTTTATTCTTTTCTATAGCTTTAAGTTTGCTAGGAACTGGCGCGTTATTTCTCTTCGTAACAGCTTTTCCTTTTGTTTTCTTTGTCTTAGCGCCTTTCGGCAATTTGCTCTTAACTTTCATTTTTCCCTGAGCCATTTTATATAAGTTATAATTAAGCTTTAATGAATGTACTGCTTTAATAACCTTTAATTTTATAAACAACAACAGCGTGTGAAAATGTTGTGACTGTCAAGTCATTTAAGACAGTGACAGATACGTCATACGTTGACAGTTGACTAGTTGACTGATAATAGTTATTAATAGGTAAGCTTTATCTGTTTTATCGTATATTACGAAGATAATTGCAAAAATTTGCATCAAATTGTGGATACAGCAATTTAAATGCAATTAAATATTGGTATATTAGAATTTCAATTTAATGAATATTTTCTTTTTCTAATTCTTTTCTACTTATAACTGCTTTATTATTAAAATAAAAACCCTATTATAAATTAAACATCTTGTAAAAAAAGGCCTCTGTTATTGTGTTAAAGCGAGGGTTTATGACGGGGTAAAAATAAGACATCAAATACATTTTAAATAATTTTTAATCATAATCGACTGTTTTGCAGTATATGAATTCGAGTTTCAAGTTAAGAAATATACATAATAATATATAATATCTAAATATATTTTATGTACAGATAAATAGAAAAAGTAGTCGAATATAACTACTAGCTATCGATAGATCCGAGCGGCGAGAGTGCAGGCGACCGGCGCGGGCGAGAAGCGGTGCGGACGAGGCGCACCTCGCCATAAAATCTTAGAAAAATAGATAAATCGCTCAAAAACGTCAGAATCAGTCGAGAAGATAGAAGATTTCCGGGTGTATTGAAGAAGACTGCACCCTCAAGCATATTCGGTGTCCGTTGAGAGCGACCGCTCTGCGGGAGATCTTCGGCCTCCGCCCTCCGCTGCTGCCGGCTCGCCTGCCTGCGCCTGCGCGTATGCCAGGCTCTTCTGGTAGCTAAACAGCTGCCGCTCCAATGAATAGTTCTCTGCTTGTAACACAGCTATTTCTCGTCTGAAATAAATATTACAGTAAATATAAAAAAATTCTTAACACTTGGACTAGAACTAAGATTTACCAATATTACCTCATTTGATGAGCATGCAAACGACACAGATCGTCGTAAACATGATAAGTAGCTTGGAAGAGCAAATAAGTATCACCCCATTCAATGCGTACTCTAACTTCACCGCCTGGATGCAAGAAGGGACAACCAGCACGAGAGACCTCTTCGACGCGAAGCGCCGTTTCCATCATCAAACCTTCATCTGCACTTTCTTGAGCGTAGTAATTCTCGAAGGGTGCACCTGGTAGCTCACTGGCGTCTGGTTCGCCGGGGGCAGCCCCTGTTCGCACCAACCAGGCGGACCAGCTTACGTACCGTAGATGATTTCTAGGCACATGGTGCACGTCACGATATAACATGTGGAGTCTGACTAGTTCCGAATGTGTATCACAACGCAATGCCCATGCCTGCTTATCACGGTCGTAGCAGGTGGCAGCCCGCCCCCCAACTGGAACAGCTAATTCAGCTAAAGCCCTCGCCCATACCAGTTCCACCGTTAGCCGCACTCCTTTATGAAGTAATCTAGAAGGAGGTCTAGGTATCCAAGGGGGTGTTCGTCCCTCACCATCGCACAGGCATTCGAGCGGTCCGGAGTGTATCCGTCTGTCACCCTCACCAAGAGCGAGGGCGTATCTGACTCTACTCAGCTGTCCTTCACCAGACAAACGCACCAAACGCAAGGAGAGAGGTTCTTTGCCGCTTCCGCCAGTTGCAGACACAGACCAGTCGAAAGCGGCGAATGCAAAGGGAGGAGTGTCAAGCCGTGGTGCCCGAAGTTCACAAGAATAAAGAGTTCTCACACGGGACATACTCAATTCCAGTTGGAACTCGCCGCGAGCGTCCGCGAATTTCGCGTTGAGCTCCGCGAGAGAGACGCATCGTCCGCGGCCCTGTGCTGCACATCCTGCGTTGAACCTGACTTGTTTTCCAGAGAAACCTTCATTTGCTGTGAAGTGGTCGCGGCTTAGAAGAGTAAAGGTGAAGTCGACATATACGCGCATGCCCTCGCAAACTCCTCGCCATACTAAGTAGATGCCTAAAAACAAAAAGTATATTTTTAACAAACAATAGTTTAAACTTTAAAGGGAGACACGGTTTGATCAAATAAGTCTAGAATAGTATGAAATTAGATGAGGATGATGAACCACTTTTCTTTTAATACTAGAAGTTATACTGTAGACACCTAAATAATTCCAAATAAAGAGATTTATTATTATTATGATTTTCTATACTTATCGAATCGATTGTTACCTGTTTTTTTTATCAAGTTCGAAAAGGACAACTATATAATTTGAAAGGACTAATTTATCTATAAGCAAACTATTGTTACAGACCCAGGGAAGTGTCGGTTCTGCTGAATGCGACAGCCCAACGCTGATGGGCGCAAGTAAAATCCTTTGAAGTGACGTCACGGTCCGGCTCGCGCGTAGCTGAGCGGGTGACGACGAAAGTAAAGACGTGGGTGTCGGCGCGGTCTTTAAGCCGCGTTGCGCGGTACAGCAGCGCCATGCGCCCGCGCACCGCTCGCCCGCCCCGCCTTCAACTGTATACAGAAAAATAAATTGTGAATAAATTTAAAAATCACATTTGTCAACATTTATCGAGGTAAGGCAAGGTAAATATTACGTTGCAAATAATGGGAACGAAGAGGTCGTAGATTCTTGAAATCGTGGCGGGAAAATCGAGGATTTTTTTCATCGTTGAGAATTTTCGTTGCGTGAACTTCGAAAACCGTTGAAGATACTCAAAAAAAGAAATAATTTTCTTGAATTAATCTAAAAACGTCGAGTAAAGCAGTATGCGTTTATCTTTTAAGATAATTATCTCACAAGAACCGTTTTTATAGTAATTAAACGTTGGTCAAAATAATTTATATGGCAAAATGACGTTTACCAGGTTAGCTAGTTGATTATATTTACGGCCTTTATGTGCTTGGATATTTCGTGCTTAACACGATGCGTGTTACCTACCTTTATTTATGTAGTCGGCCCTTGCCTATGTTTAAAAATTTATCACTAAAGTGAACCTTGTAATTTGTCCACGCCATAAGTAATTAAGGAAAGCAAGATCTTGCTTTTTGGTTACTTTTAAGATAAGATTTTAACTAAGGTATAATAAGATAAGAATACCCTTTACAAAAAGGTCTTTCGTTGAAGTATGCCCTCAAACAAAAAACAATGTAGACACATTCATTAATGTTACCTAATTCCCAAAGAATTAAAGTAGAAAGAAAAGCATACAAGTATATATGTTCTTTATACACTTATTTTTTTTTTCTAACAATGAATCATAATACGGAAACTTCGATATAAAAATAGTTACATTTGTCATGTCATGATACAGAAAAACTGTTGATAAATCGAGACAAGCCGTCTTTGTGACTGAATAACTTGCTTACAGGAAAATCTAACCAGGAATATTGTTTCGCATCAGTATGTATACAAAAGAGGCTTTACAGAGGAAATTCCGAGCTACAACAGTCTAACAACGTACAAAATGGAATACAAAATATAATTATTTTCCAAATCTCAAATAAGTGTAAAGGCCCCATATGGGGCCACATTTCTATGTCCGTTTCTCTGATCGGTTTTATCTGTTTCTGTGCCTTGCCTGACCAAAACAATCTATTGTTTTACCGGGATTCAAACGTAGAACCTGTCGCGCTTAATGCAGTGCTGGGCAACACGTTTATCGAATTATCTACTGAGGCTGTATGTGGTTTGTATGAAAAAACACGGATATTACCAAATTAAACATAAAAAAGCGTGTGTAGCACAGACTATATATTATTCACAAGAAGAATGTAAATAAGTAATCTGGCCACGAAAGACAAGGTAAATGTTTTTCTAATAACTTCCTGAAGACTGGCGTATACATTTTCTCTCCATATTTCTTACAAGGAAATAGAATAGGAGATGCTCTTTATTTTTATGACAGAGGAGCAAGCATGGGGATCGTTGAATCAAGATGTGTTGTCGACTTTTTCGGCTTGCAAAGTCGAAAATTCACAGATTGGCTGACAAAAAAATTTTATTTACTGTGAATAAAAGATTTACTCAAAATGATTCTTTAGCAATTAAATATTGACCTGGTGGGTATCGTATCTACGACCCGTTGATTACTAGCCAAACATTATTACAATAAAATTCGTTTGGTCTTAGAAAAAATAAATATGACTATCGTGACGTTTAGCAGAGATCACTTTGCAGACTACCGTTGTAACGCATTACGTAACGAAGCGTTTGTATATCACTCCAAAAAGGGTGACACGGATTTTATCTATCTTTTTAGCCACTAAAATCACGGCTCAATTTCCTTTTAGGTATTTTGTTCCGCATTTTTATTACGAACAAAGGTTTGTGGTAAACATCAATTTTCGGAGACCATCTATTATCAACGAAAAGGTTCTATGGGGCTGTTATGGAGACATTTTTCAGGATTAATCGAATCGGGGCTATTGAATACAAATGAGGCTTTGTTTGGTCGTAGGGGTATATTTCATCATACTTTATAGGGATATCCATTAAATGTAAATGATTTTTTACAAAAGTCATTGGCCTCATAAATCACTGGTTAATGAAGCTGTTTACAACGCGAAAGATTACTTTATTTTTAACAAGAGACAACCTCTTGCACTGTATCCAGCATACCTGTTGAAGATGCAGTGTGAGACTAATTCGAGTTAAGTGTTTTATTTTTTTATCGTTTACATAATTTGAGAAATGAAAATGTACTAATATGTATAATTTAATATTTATAATTTTTATCGAAACACTCGTAATATGTATAATTATTAAAAGTATTTCGATAAAAATTATCACGAACAATTGAACTTATATCAAACTAAACCTACACGAATAAAAGGCTTTTTCTAAGCGTTTAGAGAACAATACGATTAATTAATAAACGATAAACAAGTACGATAACATTTCATCAACCGTAAAATACAGAAAACTGGCGAAATTGCAAGTAAATTTTGCTTAGAAGTCAGTTCATTTGTTCCCTGTAATAGACTCCGTTGCTAACTAAAACAACTAAGTATCTAAGCACCGAAGAAAGTTTTCGCGCATAACAATGTAACCACGGCGAATGCTTTTAACTTTATTTGTGTCTTCAACTTTACATCTACACTAATAAATTCTTACGTATAACTTAGTTGCAGTTAATCAATAACTGAATCTCACAAATATTATTTATTAAACACTATTATTTTTCACATCTTATTGCACATAATGGCAGTATATATAAATAAAAAAATCGATTATACAGCGAGAGGTGTCTATATCAAAAGGTAAAAAACAATGACGCGAAGGACTCGGTAGCTCAATTGGTTAGATCAACAACACAGAACGCTGTTGATGCCGCTTTAAGAACTGCCCGAGTCGTACTTTTTTTCAAGATGTAAATAAATAATTGATTATTATATATTTTAATCTTGATTATACACGTGCACAATTGCAATGAACCAAATAAGAAATATGGAGTGGAGTGTTAAAATAATGTAGATTAAATTAGGGGAATTTCTAGAAAGTCGAAGCTTTTTCACTTATAATTTATCATAAAGAGACACAAAATAAGATAGTTTAAACGTTTGAATTTGTTGTTGACAAATCTATACTAATGTAAAGGTGAAGAGTTTGTTTGTTTGAACGCGCTGACCTCAGGAACTACTGGTTGAAATTGAAAATTTTGAAATTAGAAATCTCTGAAGTTTCCGATGCGTGCAATGCGAAAATAATCAAGACACCCAAAATATATATCATGATCTTAGAAAAACCCGAAACTAAATGTATATTTTAAGATTAACTTATAAGAACGATGGGACCCAAGTGACGGGACGCAACCGATGTCGTGGGTAACAGCTTAAATATATAAAGATAAAAAGAAGGTTCGCAAAAACAAATTTGAATGCCCAAAATAACTATTCTACGCGGACGGAGTCGCTGACACATCTAGTATCTACTTAAATAAAATAAAAAACATTAATAAATAAGATCATCTATTGAAAACTATTCATTTATATTTAATCTCAAGTGAGTGGTCGACTGCTAGCTTAAAAAAATGTCAAGAATCTCCCAACTTCTGTATTAAAAATTATCCAAATCGCGTTATGAAACAGCCATAATGGAAAACTATGTAATCGAAGTTATTACCCGTAACTAATATGTTGACATTTAATTTCACATGGCGACACTATCAGACGTTGATGGAGGGTAGCTCGGGCATTTTATGAACGAACCTGATTTTATGTGACATAAAATGATAATAACTGCGGATAAGCTTCAATCTACCCAACATCCGAATCGAGGCTCTTACTTGGACATCTTTATTCAATAACTTTTGGCATAAAAGAGTGTTTTTAGCAAGATAGTGTCATCTTTCATTTGAAATCAAAATTACCAAGTGGTATTAAATATATCACTTTAGTGACGTCACAAAATGTCATTATCAGGAATTCGGTATTACTTTTTTCTAATAAAATAATAACGCTGTTTTGTTTATGGAACACGTTCACTTGAAAACCATTAAAAAAACATGACTTTGCTGTATTTTTAGAAAAGCGAGCCTAAAATGATCTAAAGGTAAATATATGCAAATCGAAACAATACAAAGTATTCCCTCCGTAAACACGGCTGCTGTAAAGTACCTAACGTTTAACGCAAGAAACATTTAAAAAAAGGTTACTAAAATATTGCGTGTTTTAAACCTACAGTTGATTACCATAAAAACGGTATGGAGACTTAATCTTAAAATATAGACATATACCTACCGTCACAGACATTTTTTTTATTATTTAATAAAGAATATACATATTTTTTGGGTATCTAGAATCGTTTTTGCAGCGCAGGAAACGGAAGCCTTCAAAGATTTGTAATTTTATCGTTTTTTACACATTTCCTACTGTTCATTCACGCTCAATTCATTGTTCCTGAGATTAGCGCATTCAAAAGAACAAAGGCACTCTTCAGGAAGATAACATTAGTATAGATAACCGTTATGGGTTAGCCTGCCTTCATAAAAAACAGATAGTAAATACTTCGTGGCTCAATGATTTAAGAAATTGCCTAACACTAAGCGCAAGTGGTAGTTAAGATCTAGAAAATACATTTTGGCATTGTTTCAAATAAAGTCGATTAAAACAGACACAGCAATATTCTGCCTATACCTAACGGAATTCCACTTCATAATTGAATCAACTCAAGACAAATAGGTCTACAGCAAGCATGACCGCAGTTGTATTCAAATTCATTGACTTTAACATTGTTCTCTTGAAACTCACACAAGATCCATTCTCCCTGAGGCGTTACAAAGGGTTAGAAATAAAGTCAAAGCCCCTTCATCATAGATTTACTGGGCCAATATCCTACAGTTAATAATTGCTTAATTCATTCTGCGATAGATATTTTATTGTAATTTGAAATAGTAAAACAATTTTATATAAGTTCCTAAAATTACTGTGAAAGGGTTTAAATGCAAAAAAACTTATTTACTAACACGGTTTTTGACAG